AATTTGCCGTTATTACGTTAGTGCATCACACGTAACTGATGTTTTAGACGTAGGGAGTCGTTTGAAAAAAACAAAGTTACCATTAGAAGGTGCATGGATATACCCGTTGTGCGTAGCCTTTATATTTTCTCTGAACATATCGCAGCCGAGAACGTCAGTCTGCTGAAAAACATGGCTTGTTGGAATTCAAACTGAAATCATGTAGATGTTTGACAATGATTATGAATATATATATATATATATATATATATATCATTCCGAACCGCAGTGAAGAATCACTAGCGAATGCTGCTGTTGGCTTATCTCTGTCAGTTGCAGTCAGGAGTTCTCTACTGACACAAATGTTCTTTGTTATGCGAGCGAGCGATCTATCGGTCGATAGCCGTGTGCTTGTGTTATCGTAGGAGTTTCTTGACAATCAGCTCCAGATCAACCACTGAGCTGCGATTTTCCCTTTGTTTATTTCGGGTTGTCTTGTCTCGAGGCTATTTCCTTCAACAATGTCTGCATACCTCTTTGTAGGGGCCGCGTTCTTATTGCGATCAATTTCTTGTTCTACCCATGCATTATCCTGCATCACAAAACGAAAGTGGTTATATTCAGGATTAACGGGGCCACATGCGTGATTCTTTTTCACATTTTACCCTACCCAAATTCCAAGATTGGCACTTTTAGGACTCGGGTCTCATCCTATCATTGATTTATCAAAATAATTCGATAGTCACTACGTTTTCACAGTGCGAGGTCATGTGAATGTCCACCGTATTTCTCACCGTTGACAATCTGCTACGGTTCGCACCGTGAATCTGCAGAGTTTATTAGTCTGCAGATCAGTAGTATTGTCCGGTTTGATTATTTATTTTCATATGGTCTGCGTGTGAATAATTAGTGCATGAATAGACCTCGACTGGGTAACTCAGGGATGAGGATTTTGAATTCCAACCCCGAAGTTTGCATTTCGGATTTTCGATGTCGGTAGGGGCTCGAATAGGGTGCACCCAATCGATGAGCCCAACCATACTTGAAACGTTATCTATATGCTATTTGCTCTTTGTTGGTTCCTCACAATTGCTCGTGACAATCTGACGATGAGAAGCTGTAGTATGCACCGTTAAGCAATCGCAATCATTATAATCATCAGTTATGGCGATTTTTCGTCACTAAGACGTGAGGAAAAGATAATGGAATTGCCGGGGTTAGTTCATAGGGTATATTCAAACGAACCAGAAGATCTATACCGAGTAAGGCCGCATTATTTAATCGATATCCTTCTGGTCATGGTGCTCCAGAAATGTCTGGAGTAAATTTACCTCGTCCAAATTTCTGGTTTCTCATTGGCCAGCATAAAAACTGACCGGCAAAGTCACCTAGCTTGTGACCACTACACGGGTTATTAGTTGGGCATCTTTACCCTTCTCAAGCGCGTAACTATGTATACGGATGCTGGTTTTCAACTAGTTCAGTGTTTACAACTAGGAAAAGGAAATTGCTGTTACTGTGACTGCGTCAACACTGAGTACATCCATCAGCAACTGGGTGAAGTGTGTGTGCGTCTGCGTCCGTGTACACTGTTTGGCGTATGGTGATGCCCTGTACCGCGCGCAATGGTACTCAATCAAATCCTTTGTGGTTTTCTGAGTGGGAGACAGAGAGCGAGAGAGGACGAAGGATAATTTTCAGTTGTTTGAAATAAACATGGTCAAATAGGAGAACCGAAAACATTCATGGGGATGTCCACGGGAGCAATATGGAGTACAAGGGGAGGGGGGGGCGGACCTAAGTTGCCGACAACAAGTGGGTATGCAACAGAATTAGCGCAGGAAGGCCGGATAGCTATTATTCTGTCTGAAAGGAAATGATCATGCTGCTGCTGATGATGACCAATAGCAGGTTGCCCCTCCGTACTCCTCCTCCCCGCAGATCCGCTCCATCCCGGGAGACCGGAAACTTTTAGCCCGGTAGTATCACGAGGAAAATAGCATGAACACACCGTTCCCGAGTGACCACGATTAAACGCTTGGATGAGTAACGTGGATGCATGAGCTCCGAAATTTTTCGATGTCTGAAGCGAAATGGCTGAAACGGTTTGGTCTGACGTGTTTCCTCCATTCAGCTAATTTGGCCGATAAAATATTGTACAAGGAATTCACGCATTGTCTGCAACATTGTGATGCTTTGATCGAATTTAGGGTTAACCAGACACTCATGTTATCTCCACTTAGAAACGTATTCATAAAAAAGTTATTATTCGTTGGACTGTCTCGCTCATATTCTTGATGCAATGGCCAATTATGAGTGAAAAAATTTGATGAATTACGCTTTGTCTTCACAATTAGGTTTGTGAGTAATAGTGAAGAAACAGGCCGATAGACAGGTGAAATTTAACCGATTCACTGTCGAAGCAATTTCGAAAACTATTTTAACTGACAAATCCACGCGCACACATGGAGACAGCTATGACTGTTCGGTTTTAAATCAGTCACATGAAGTAGTCAGATTATGTGAGCATAACGGATTTGCAACCGGTTTGCAGTCAGCGGGTACAATCACATGAGGATCACGGTCAAAATAACGAAAAATCCACAAGTTCAGTCAAACTGCACTCAAGAACAAGTAAATCACCATAATCAATGACGCATATTAACATTTGATTTAAATCAAGTGTGAGTTCCACACCGTGAATGGGGCTGCGTTCATTCTCAGACTGCCCGTCAGTAAGAGGCCAATTGGAGCGGTATAGGTGGGATTAAAATCCACGGTTTCATATCAAAAAACCATCACCACTCGGCATGAACAGGTCAGTTTTCCCTCCTCGAGCTCAAAAAAAAACGCTGTTCAGACAGACGCAGGCATGTATACGCTCGGCGTGTAAATGAAACACATGAGAAACGAAAAGTTAGCAGTCATCACCGCGCGCTACTTACTAACTCATCATAATGTGCAAACCCGATGAATGTTTTCAAGACATGTCCGACGACAATCGATAAAACGATTTCTTGCGCAAAATCTGATTGAATTACTAAGCCGCAACCATCATGACAGTAGCTGAGGTCAACTAACATCAACATCAATGTAAATATTAACAAATGATAGGGCTTGTTTCATACTTTATTACACCTGATATGTAATCACGACTGGTAATGGGCATACAGCTGTAGTGTGTTTTCCCTCAGGTCCGTGCATTAAACTCATGTTACATTGGACTCATCTCCATGGTTCCTCATGTTGGCATCCGAACGTAACTCCTATGGACGAATTATGGAACACACAGTGTCGCACCTCTTCCCCGTCGAAACTATGGATAGCTCTTAACAGTATGGTGAACACAGACCTATGATTGTATTCATCTATATAATGCAAAAGCATCCCGCTAACTATCTAATGCAAAGTTCACATTCATATTATTTATCTCTGCATTTACCATTATTTTTTCAGACGGTTTTTCCGGCCTCCAAACCCGAACGGCTGATGGATCTGAAGTCCACAGTGGATCTGTTGACTAGTATCACGTTCTTCCGGCTAAAGGTAAGTTACAGTTTGTTAAATGTATTTACCTAACTTTATGCCCATATTGATTTGACTCAAAGAGTGATCCAACCGATCTAATGCCAGTCCAACTTCTAACGGATTTCAAAATCGGAAACCTGCTTGTTCAGATTCTGCGTCATATCGTTTTTGAAATTAGGTTGTAGTTCAACATGTGTTGCTCTTTTTTAGTCTGGACAAATGGGGTTTCCACACGGGCCTTTTACCAACCATCGATGGGGGTTTTATCTTTTTTCACTAGGTACGATAAACTTGATCGATTGCCAATTGAAGAACGGGAAAGTGGGAGGATAGTGTGTACCCTCCCTCCCCCCTCATGCTCGACACACCCACCCAAACATACAAGCACCCACATTCCCAGTTTGATATCGTGGTACCATTTATCATGTAACAATGCTCCACTGGACACCAGAACGCTCAGATACATACATGAACAAGTTCGCTCAGAATAGGAGACCAATATAAAAAATACTGTTTTGTCAAAATAATTCAGCTTTTCTCGCTCATCCGGTAAGTGAAAGAGAAGTTGAGCTCCGGACTGAGAGTTGTGAGTCGTTATTTATCGAGATACGTGCTTGCATTCTCTACAACATAATATTCCGAATATGAGACAAAAAAAATAACAACAAAAACAACTGATTTGAGCCGGTCATCCGACAATCTTTCCTCATGTGATTCTATGCTCTATAGATGAAAAAAAAAATCATGCAGACACATGCTGACCCGATTTGAAAAGTTTACGCTCTTCAGCGCGGATGAGTTTGTATAGATGCTCGGATGTGAGATACACGTATATGACCGTTCCCGTGTTACGCTTCACTCTAATCTCCCACCCCACCCCGCCCAACCCCATGACACATTCCACCTTGCGCGCTCGCACACACACACACACACACACACACACACACACACACATACACACACATATATATATATACACACAGCAATAGAGAGAGCTTTAATCTTGTCCGTGCCGATTTTGTCGCATCCATAGGTTCAAGAATTGACTTCGCCCCCACGGACCGGACAAATTCTGCGCGAATGTATCGCTGCCTGTATACACGCGACCTATCAGTGCCTGTGCGAAAACGTGCATGAATTGTACGGGAAAAGTGTTCAGGTGAGAGAGATCAAAAACACACGGGCTCTAAGATATATCAGAAAAGACGAAAACAGATGTATGGATTTCCCGTTTCTCTTTGATTCTTTCATGCTGGATATATCCGATTTCTCTTTTATTTCGGTACCTTCATGTGTGCGAGTGCGAGTGCCTGGCAGAGTTAGCCATAGCTATAGACAGATCATGGTTTATGGCACAGATACGGTATTTCTTAAAATTCGCAATATTCTTTAAAACAAAATGACGCATGTGGTCTGGTCGCTCAGTTTGCATTCTCTCATTCACCTGTAAATGCACTTTTATACCACTATGTCACACGGAGAAATGTACGAGTTGCATTGAGTCACTGGAACAAGGTGGTGAGTTGCGTTATCAGGTTCGGTCATGGGGTAAGGCTAAACTATAGATCACCAAATTTGAAATAGAATTATTAAAACAAGACGGTGAATGCGAACAGTGATAGAGCACTGTGGGACGGAAGGGTGTCCGGTGTGTCAGCCATGTGAAGTACTTAGGTGTCACACTTGAAAGTAACATTCGCTTGTCCTTACATACCCAAAGTATTGCTCGCAAGTTGAAAAGGCTCTCTTTTCAGATGATAAGACTGCGCCCATTGTGTTCTAACTCGTCGGTGGTTAACACTTTCGTTCAACAATGTGTCCTCCCTATACCCCTTTACTACTCTCCTGTAATTTTCCCTGGTTTGTTGAAGGCTAATTTCAAGTTGCTGAAGCGTGGCCTCTCAATGATCAGTCGTGTCTCTCAAGTTCCGTTATCTGTTCTGATTGGCAATACGTGTAATGCCCATATTGATGCGTGCTTGAAGTTTGCTGACAATATCCTATCTGATTGCACCCATCCTCTACACATTGACCTGTGTGCATGCAAATCCCACCCCTCCACCCGTTCCAAGTGCAAACTTATCCCGTCTCGCATATCCGCATACAGAAACTCTTTGATATTCTATCTTGCCCAGATATTGACCGACAAGGAAAATGTTCGTTCTTAGCTTTCTAATGCATTTGGTCATTAACTCATTTTTGTACGTTTTCACATCCCACTTTGTCCCCTGTTCTTACCAGAATTGTAACGGTGGTCTATTTTTCGGCTGAAAGCTTGTATATATAACTCGTTAAAGCTTGAATACAATACAGTGAAATATAATATTTAAAACAAGACAGTGAATGCTGCCAGTTATAGAGCACTGTGGGACGAAAGGGCGTCTGATGTGATGTAATGCTTACCACGACAACAACAGTCAAGTAAAAATGTTCTTTGGAGTAATTATTGCGCCTCCCTTATGGACACCTCTTATGCTTTTGTATAGCGCACAGTATATCAGCTCATCTACGAGGTGAAGCCAAAAGCAGTGATCTTTTTACATTTGGATCACTCACAGAATATGAAATCTGCCCCCAAGGGATCTTCTTAGAATCCACCAAATCCATCGAATGTACTTTTGAGATAAATGTTCAAATTGCTTTGTGTGGTACATTGAAGTTTTGTGTTTCAATTGTGAACTTGCAGAAGCCTCGATGGCACTCGCGCCCACGCGTCAATGAAGCATGATCATAGAACCAGATTGCGTCAGAGCTGCATATGGTTTCAAAGAATCGGTAGTTGGTTTTTGACACTCATTTGACGTTTCATAAGCTACGTGGCGTTTTATGCAACTTTTGTCTCTTGAAGCTCACGTTCGATCCTATGATCAGCATCACTGTAATTTTCTGCAGTTCTTGCTAGAATGCTTCTGTGGACCAATAAATAATTCATTGGCCCAAGCTTTATCCAGTTAATTTTTCAGCTGCGCTGGTCACTGTTAACTTGTCGATAAATTGAAATGATAAATAGATTGAGGAAATAAACGTTTGGAAGGCATTTGGTAACAAACAAATGAAAAAGAACAGCCGATGAGAATCCGGATGCAACCGAGTGCTACTTGGCTGCTCAGGGACAACTGACCTCTGGTTATTATCGCATAGAAAAAGTATACGTCAGACGTGTAACACAACCATTCGGTGTTGTTGTTGAGTGGGAAATGGGCTCAATACTATCTGGAAACAGAACTGAGTACACGTGAATGAACAATGATTTATGACCATTTATCAATCTGGAGCGTACTTTTGCCACAGATCATCTCGAAAAGCCACCAGGACGTTGCATACTACACGCCGATTCATACTAGTATTCGTCAATGATGCAAATAAATATTGGTGTTCAAAAATTCCACAGTAGGCAGATATCGGATCAGAGATTTCAGTGAAAGTGTTACGATTTTGTGCTGCATGTTCAATATTTGCAGCACTATACTTTAGGAGCACATAGTCCTCCAATCTAACTTTATTTTTTGTTAAGTTTTCGATCCATTTTAAACGACTTGTTCCACCAACATCACTATGACTACCATCCCCACCACATCAACAATAGTAACGACAACCAGCGGTCAAAATGAACGGAATGTCGAGGTATCGCACAATTGGTTTCCGCGCCTGTTTTTTTCTTTTTGTTGAATATCCAGCCGAATCTTCAGACTTAATTACGTTCCCGATTGTAATAGAGCACCACGCACCACGTGGTAGGCCCGAAAAAATAGACGAATTCTTCGCGATGACCCGTGGTTTATGTGGACTGTCGATCACGCTTTGTGTAGCACAAGAGGGTGTGACTGAGAAGTTCTCAATGTGTATGTATGAAGGTTGAATATCAAAAATGTGTGTAGTTGTAGATTAAAAGTAAAAACATGAAATTAATCGATGTTTTTCACCGGATACACAGACCTTCCGGATTCTGTTCAATGAAAAAGATAAACGCACTATGTGATCAATCTTGCCTTGTCCTGCTTGTTCTCTGGTGGCTATTTTTGTTTATTTAACAAACAGATAACGATTGAGGACTTCTTGGTGTTGGGGTTTCTCGATGATTTTTGACCGTTCCGTCTGTCTGTCTGCCTACCTGTCTATCTGCCCTTCCATCAAGTGCTCGATGAGGTGTGCTCTATGAAATGTGTAGTTGCCTAATCCGTGTATTTTATAATTAGCATCTGTTGTGATAGAAAAACGGGGAATTTAGAACCAAATTCATTAGATTATGCTAGGCTATTTTGGTCAATGTAATCCAACCTTGCTACTCTAAAAATGTTTCTACCAACTTTATGGCCATTGTATGCCCTTGCCTTGTTGTCTAGAGGTCATGCACTTGCATGTGATTTGTTCTCGTTAAACATCACGTGACTTACCAATTATCCATAATCTTTCTATTCGTCATTCACCTCTATTAATACTCTGCCTAATTATTAGACAAATATAACCTTATTCTTCTAGTAAGTTAGGTCTGGTATTGCTTTTATTTTTCAACCAATTAACAAACCGGAGACCGGTGAGAAACAATGGACCTAAATTCATTAGATGTACCGGAATTTGGTGTTCAGAAAGAAGAGATAAATCATCACTACCGTATTTCCTCATGTTCCTTTCTTCGTTTTTCTTTCCTATTTCCGGCATTCTGCAAACAGAGTGTGGGTGGTGCCGGGAATGGTGGTAACAGTGCCGGTGCCCCGACCGAGCTAGGTCCTGTGGATGGTCAGCAGGACACATCACAACCGAGTCAGTCGATGGGCACGAGCGGAACGGAACCCTCGGACGATATGCGCTCGCTCACCTACTGGCATCGATTGATCACCTTGATTGTTTCCGTCCTCGAGGATGATCGAAAGCATTATGCACCGGTGCTCAATCAGTGAGTGATTCACACACACACACACACACACACAGATCTTTGTTCCATCCCTGTGACTTGCTAGCTCCACTCTATTTAAAGGGGACGACGGGACTTTGTTTTTCTCCGAAACTGTGACTTTGAAACAATGGGGATCTAAATCGCATCCATTGTTTGTGCTACGTCATCAAAGACATGGGCTCACGTTCTTTGGGTGGGAAATCAGCGCTCTGATGACAACCTGCAAACGTATACAGCTCAAACCGTATTCCTAGACGAATGGCGAAGTCCCATTAGACCACCAACACATTTTGAAGGGAGCATAATGTAACGAACAAAACTTGTATTCGGGGCTATTCCACTTCTTTAATTAACGCATCACAATTTAGATAACTCGGATAAAAAGGAGGGCTGTGAAAGCGCGCACAAAAAAGAACTTGAAAAAGTAGATAATATCTACCGTTTTCGGCGCAATATCTAATCGGGATGTAGCGAAGATGGGGATAGGCAAGTGAAAAGAGGGTGGGTGCTGGACTAAAGGAGATAACAAATCCACAAATTGTTTTGGGGTATAAAAGGTGTGTGTGTGTGTGTGTGTGTGTGAACGCGAGCTCCCTCTGCTTCCGTTGTGAGCGGAATGCGATGATTAATCCCTTTATACTGTTGTTCACAAACCTGGTGGAGGGGGGGGGGGAACCCCGATCAAGTCAACTAAGCGACGTGACTGGACTAGGTGTGGACAGATTGACTTTATCACTCCAGTGTGCAACCAAGCCGAATTTTGCTCAGGAACCGGTTGTGGCGAGTCTCTGCTCGTGCAACTAATATACGCTGTTCCACAAGAACGAGTGAAAGAGTAGACGCAGAATGAGTTTGCGGAAACAGGAACTTACTTTTTGAGTTGCAGCCTGATGGTTGTTCTGGGCTGAAATCTGACGTGGAGTTTAGCTGCACGGCACGTTTGATTGATCGCAGTTGGCAATGTTCGGGTAACTCTCTCCGTCATAGTGTCGCCTGTTAGTGGCAATATTATTATATCACCCATTATTACTACTATATTATCTGTTTTTTCAAGTTTTTTTTCGTTTCCCCTAATTCATGCTATTACCGCCATCCTTTTTAACTCGATTTGTATATTTGTTATTTATATTTATTCTTATGGCCACAGCCCCATTCCTGAAAGTTAACTGTACATTTGTGTATTCAATAAATAGAAAAAGAAAGTAAAATACATTAATTTTTTATTTGAACAGTGACTGGAAGCAATATTCTCAATGTATCATTCTATGAATGTTAACAATATTCCATTATGGTTTACATACAAGCCAAACAGATCCAGTTCGAACGCAGTCCCCAGCCTCATGTATTCCATCACTAAGTCTCTTAATCGATCTGTTAAATCTTTATGTTGCGTCTTCCTTTACTATTCTTCTGTATTCGAATCCGCTTTTCCATCAATGCTGTTACAAAAATCTTTTGAATCCTCTGGGCAGTTATTTGATGTACCCATTTGATAGAGCACACACCACTAGACTTGGGGAGGGCTTTATGTCAACCCTCAGTCAACAACTGAAATATTTACCCTATTCCTTGTGTTACTTTGCTTCTGGTGTTTTGATGTATGCAGATGATGTGGTGCGTCAATTCATTTCTTGTTCCTCAGACCTAAGTTGCTTTACCGATAATCTTCGTCGAACCCAGCTGTTTTGCTCCCGTATGGGCTAAGTTTGAATCCCAGCAAACGTGTTTATTTCGTTTTTCATGCTCTTCATTCCCGACAAACTTCACAGTGAAAAGCAACAGTTATTTATCTATGGTGAAGTCTATCAACTATCTTCAAATCACTGTCGATAACATTCTAGCTTGACCAGCTCGTATCTGTGATGGTATTGGTTAACTTTGGTGCCTATCATTTCCAACTCCAGCCAGCTTCTCATCGCACGATTCGTTATTTATAATTTTGTTTTGTTGCTCTCCAGTTATTTTCCCTGGTTTAGTTAAACGACATTTCAAAGTCTTTCCCAGCGGTCTAACGATTGCTCGTCGTCTTTCGTCAAATTGTGTAAATTAGTCAGTTGTGGAACTTCCGCCTAATCACACAATCTCTTGCCAAAGGGACTCTTGTAAACTATAATCAACCGTCCTAAGCCGAACTAGCACGTTGTTCCTATCCCTCTACCAGCTCTGGCAACGGACAGATGCCAACGTGTATAAACTTTTAGCGAACTCTGCCTCTGTCCTATTTCGTATGTGCACTAACAACCAAAGAGTGGGTAACAAGTGAATTATTATTTACCCTTAGACTGCAAATTAGTTTTATTATCCCAGTCATCAAAGGATTTTATATTAAATGTGTTCAGTTCGACGATTGGCATGTGTTAGCGTTTTGAGGAAATGAAGGGTATTTTTCTTGCATATGTTATACAGAAGTAGTGTCCAACATGTATGTATGTATGTATGTATGTATGTATGTATGTATGTATGTATGTATGTATGTATGTATGTATATATGTAGATATATGGGTTGTAGATCGGAACTACCATGTTTCACATTTGTGTCCCCAGCATGTTCAGATTTGTCATGAACGTTCGATGGTAAAATGCGGCAACTGCATATGTGGGATGATGGAAGAATGGTTTGGTGTACAGATAGTCAGTAGAATGGTCGGTTGCATGACTGCTACGGGCAAGGGATGGTAGCAACTCATTCCAATGAAATCTGTTTGGATCTGTTTTGAGCATCACATCCATACCTACACTCAAGCGCGCACACTCAGACAAAATGTCTGTCAGCTATGGAAGCTAAACAAATGTGACGACATAGATTGCATGTCATTTAGCCATTAGCCAATCTGATGCGTGCACTTCCGGTGATTTTCGATGCATCACGGTAATTGTTCCTCGATGTGCATGCCTGCACTCATTGAGCTGCGGATGGCCAGTAGTAGTGGGATGAGAGACAAAATGTGCAGTGGACAAGGTGGTAATCAAGAGCGATGAAAGATTTTGGAGTAGGAAAGGGGTTGGGGAGGGAGGGAAGGAGGGAAGGACGAGGAAATGACAGGGAGCAATGGTGTTGCGTTTCTCTCGCACGATGTATCGAACCATTTGCAATTGACTTGATCCTTTCATTTTGGCAGTGGAGTCTGGGTTTTAGACAGAGAGAAAAACAATTTCAGATTTTACTCAGAACATTGCCGTCCAATGATGGTCGTTCTTCTGATTAGATTTGTGCTTGCTGCGCCATGATTTGTAGTTGAGTTAAGCAATTCTCAAGCGTCCGAATTTCTAGAATGATACGAGGTACCATGTTTCACTGAATCGATTATCGGGACTCCCAGAGTAATCTGCACAGAGGATTTGAAGATAGTTAACTCGACATTGTACAGTTGAGTGACTATGGTGCACCGTTCTGGCATCTTCGTTAGGAATCATCATCAGGCGAAACCACCACCGCGCATATCCGTCGAATCTACTGGGATTCAAATGGAGGCTCGGAGAGTCGGCCATTTGTAGCACGGAAGTGTCACTTGAGCTACTTTGGTGTGCTCTCAGTTGTACATGGTACACGTCAGGAATACTACAACGAATAACGCTCATGCGTCATTGAAAGTACTGAGATTTACCGAACATTTGTCCCTTGCCCGATGCACGACTCCTCACCAGGGTCTTAATAAGCATGAAACCGATGTACGGTGAGTGCTTTCAAGGTTTGTCAGTAGTGAGTGGCATGTTACCTGTGTGACCAATCACTATGATGAACCGAATGGGATATTCCAGCCCCTTCTAGCTTCAGTCTAAGAACTATATGCTTAGTCCAAAATTATCCAATGGTGCGTTTTTACTATTTATCTACTTAAGCTTCTGCCTAATGGTCATTTAGTAACTGATAACAATTGTTGTTACGCACTTCAGGATGATGACCAGTCGACTGTTCTGATGTCTTATTTACGCGAAAAATTGTTTGGCTATGTAAACAGGCTGTCTATACCCTAGAGTGATGCACCGCCTCGACTGAACTGACGTTGTATTGAGTCCATAAGCAATGCATGAATGATATAATCACCGTTTGTTTTGTTTTTCTCTCCTGCATTGTCATCTTGTTTCCTTCTGAAGGGGGGAATGGGGAATAAATTACATATAACAAGCACTAAGATGTTGACATCAATTCAAAGTGGTGATCCTTTAATTTAATATCGAACCGATTCTTATCCTCTGAGTTTCTCATTGCATTGAAGTGACGAGTCAGTACCTATCAATGTAACTAATTCATACATTTTAACTTTGTTGAGTCAGATCAATAATGTCCTTTGTTATTGTTAGTGATGTTGTTGATTAGATGATCGGATTTGGAATCCGAGGGGGTTAATTTTTAGATGAACAACAACGGTTGCTAGTTGCACCAAGCTTCCCAGACAGGGTGTGCTGCTTGGATTATTGACAGATAGATAGATTACTGACAGCCACCAGGTGGTCAAGTGACTATGCGTTTTACAAGTCAAGTTGTCCCCATATCATATCAAGATGTCCTGCCGTCATTTCAAGCTGTCGCGTTGACCTCACCGGTGCTGACAAGCCTCCCAGCGATGTCCGGCTGACTAACATGCAACACTGATTTCTCTACCTCCCGTTGAAGTGCGGGGGACGATTGTGAGGCGGGTTTCGGTCACACACGCCTCAATTCTCACAGCATACATATCGGTCGTTTATCTTGCTAGTACGCGTACGCCTCTGTTTGTATGTGTCCCCCTCCGCTGATACCAGTGAATCATGCGCGATCAACGCTTGAGCCATTGCTTACCGCTATCGCACGATGCTGCAATAGAATTCATAAGCTACACACCCCAAGCGGCTGCACTGGGACACCAACAGATCATGCTCGATCGGTATACACATCAGTATTGACCAGATTCACATCCAGTTTGTTCGACACTTTCAAGTCATAATCCATCTCTGTGGCACCATCACAGAAGCACCTTCAAGCACTGAACAATCAAAATGACCATTTTGGCCATATTTTCGGAACGGAATGAGATATCTCTATCAAATCAACTGCAATAGAAATAACGCAACGAGGGCTGTCGAAAGATGCCATAATTTTCATAAGAATTAAGGAATTTTATAAAAAAAATACAAGTTTAAAAATTGGAATGTTTCCTAAATGCACTTTTCTGAGTATGGGCTCTGAATTCGATAATCTTTATCGCTGAAATCATATAGTATTACTTAAACACCTCCATCATACAAGGTAAACCGGGTGAATTTAGGTTAACTTATGACATTCACAAGTAGAAAGTGCAAACTGTCTTCTGGATTCAGGTTCACCATGGGAACACCACCGTGGTCGTTCTTAGAATAGAATCGGTGCTGCATGGTGGTCATTCAGACATCACTGGGAGGCTTGTCAGAACCGGTGAGGTCAATGTGACAGCTTGAAATGATCCAAGGACATCTTGATATTGGGACAACCTAACTTGCATAAGGTATAGATAGAATGTTTACAGTATACCAATGCATTCGCAAGTTTCACCCTCCCCGCTCCTCCCAGGTAGTTAAATCGATTCGTGCAGCCGGTGAAACGTAACAGGTTATTCAGTTTCCGTTCATCTTACTTTGCAATGAAACTTCAACTATTTATAAGGATGACTAATTGTTCGCTCGCTTGCTACTTTAGTGAACAAGCGTTTGCCGCTCTGACAGTAGGGTATTATTATATCCGGTTAAGATAGACTACTTTTAGGCTTGACACCCTGGACATAAAAGATAAGTTCTGCCAATTAACTGCTCATCTTCTTTCCCTCTCTGTTTCCCCGGTGAACAGATTTCCGCACGAAATTAACCTCGGAGACATGTCAGCCGAGATGATGTGGAACTACCTGTCGGAGGACCTGTCCGCCGATTTACAGCATCATGCTACTCTGGCCCGAAAACTGATGGATTCCGGTGAGGTCATGGAGTCGACGCAGACCGCGGTGCGATCGAGGTTTCGCGTTCCCGGCCGGTCGCAACATAACGGGCCGGTGAGCACGAACGGATCTGGGCCCCGGATCAAATCGTCCGATTACATGAATCTGTGCTTCCGAGTCAAGTGGTTTTACAACTCGTATATTGCAAGTTTGCCCCAGTGTCGCAATAAAGTGCCTGAGTATCCGAAGTAAGCAATGCTTTTTGCCGAGTTGTTGGGGTTAGACTGTTTTTCTAACCCGCATTTTTATGTGCATATATTCCGTAAAAATCAAGACGTTTGTGATTCACTGGAGTGCCTGACTAGTCTGCATCTTCAGTTCATTCGTTCAGTCATTCCTGTGGAGCAGAGTGTGCTACTTGCACACACCCTGAGCACCCCTCTGAGTGTATCCGTGGATATCGTCTTACGTGACCGAGAACTGGTTATTTTAAGTCGATCACCAGTGCCGTGGCTTCGTGACTTGCTGACATCAACTAAACTGTAAAACTGACCAAAGCGTTCAAACATCTGTACAGACCGAGTCAAAGTGAATTGGTAAATCCAAACAAGCTTGAAATTCTAGTGACAATTGAAGCAGTCGTTGCACGTCTGTACGCTGTACGCAAGCACTTAGGCTCCCTCAACTGAACTCCTGACAGGTGACTGATTCGGAAGCATTCGAAAAGTGGTAAAGATGGAATCCTTTACCGTGAGTAAATAAGAACCAGGATTATAATTTGTAAATACTTCCTTTCTTTAGCTCATCGGGTACGAATACAACACACCGTAAACAACGAATGTATGAGTAAAATTGCTAAACACACATAAACGAGTTTTATTCAATAATTTCTACCTGTTCGCTTTCTATCATAACCGTGATCAAACATTGCATTTCTCTTAGATGGTTCGAGAGTTTAGTCATGCTATGGCTAACAGAAAATGATGACGTCTCGGCTAACTACCTGCGAAACGCCTATGAACGGGACAAGCAGGACGGATTTCAGTGTTCCAGTGAGCATGTCCTGTACTCGAACTCTGTGGTTGATGTGTTTACCCAATTAAACCAGTGTTTCGATGTGATTCGCAAACTCGAGTGTCCGGATCGCGAGGTCGAGGGGCACTTTTTGCATCGATTTTCCCTGGTGAGTGTGTCTGGTGTTGATGGAAAAGCATTTCCAGGGTTGCGTTTATCGGAGAGTGGTAATCGGGTGGTTGGAATCGACTACAAAGCAGTCGAAAATTCAGTTAAAATGACTCAGGAAGTACATGTGATTTCGGCACTTCATCTTTAGCTATCTGACAAAACACGAGAACTAGATAAATACGTCACTGTTATTACCCGTTCCGATAAAATTACACAAGATAACTCGCGGAAACCAATTTCTGATCACTTCAGATTTATGCCAATTTAAAAGGTTTACAAAGATAAAATTATACCTATATGCTTATAGTAACTTTTTGATTAGTATTAGACTGTATAATCGATCGTACTGTATGTGTTTGTTTTGGGCCAAGTTCGCAGAATGTGATTACTGACCCGCAGAAGGGAAATGTATCCAAGTTTGTAGCACAAACTTACTGGGCTCTATTTCGTCCGTAGATAAATGTGGCGAATTATATGCAGCTGGGCTCCTGAACGTGTTTATCGAAAGCTGTTCGTGCTTTCGCATTTATATAGTTGGGCATTCGGTTGCATAATAGCAGACCCAAACAGTCACGGAGAGTGTTGTCGGTTGAGCACTATCGTGTCTCACAAGTAGCACTTACCCGGTGGACATCCTTTATGTCCACGAGTGATGGCGTACAGTCCGAATCACTGATTTAGGCATGCTCTAGTTACAAAATGCAACAGCTGTGAAAACCAGCTTTTGCTCTTATCCGAGACACAAACCAGGCATTTTGGAGACAGTTGTTGCGTGATTAAATCTGTTGTTCATGTATCATCGTTCATTCTCCCTCGGATAAAAATACTTTACATGCATTCCCCAGTTAAAGATTTCCCACGTTAAATTTTTCTGCCTTTTTAATGAAAGAATTGAATGGTGAAACTTAAGCTTTCCACTCCCTTTTTCCATGTGTGGATTTCAATTCAGATAGACGCGATGATCGATTACACACCGATTACGTTTCCAGCGAATGCCGGTCTTGTTATGCGCTCAACCTTCCCGGTTTCCTCGTTCACTTCAAGTCATCTTTTTTGCATTAGGGATTTGTGAATCGCAAGCTCTCGCTGTGTGCAGTGCTTTAACTGTGCATATGCAATTCTTTGGATCGGGAAACGAGTTCAATACTCACCTCCGATGAATTGTTGTATGATTTGTTCCTCGGGAACTCGGGAACTCGCACAGAGACACAACCCCCTCGAGGCACCGATCGGATCAGTCACAACTTATAGGCGCGCTTTGACAGGAGGGTGGCGTGTCGTTCGGTCGGTTAGGCGTGCGCACACGCGCCCGACTCTACCACACCCTGTCAGCTGAGCAGTTTTAAATGTCTGAGCTATTCAACCCGACACTCGAAATGCGTCTCCAGCACAGACAGCAATAAATGAGCATGTTTTCTTTTGGCATCATGCCAGTTGCATTCTCCGCCGCACACACACATTGAAAGCTACCCTCGGAACCCAGGAAACCAGGGGGAGCGGTATATGTTGTAAACCGAAGAGTTGTGGTAGACAAACTAACTGTCCAGACAGAATTGTGATCCAAAAAACGGCGTCGTTCGAAAAAAGGTTGGGGACGAAAATTCCCTTTGAAAAATACTGAAACAGTCACCTAATGATGTTTTTTTCTTTCATAAATACCCATTCCTAACTATATATATATATATTGTATCATCCGATCTTTTCTACCCAATTCATTAGAAGAGAGATAGAAAATAAATCCTATGAGATTTTACCATTTCTTTTATTCTTCTAAGTTTGCACAACGTAAAAAACGTAAGAAAGTTTTGATAACTGCAGTAGTTTCCTTCCCTGAAACGGTTCAAGAAGAATAGGCGTTTCTACGATGGACGCTACTGCATAATGGTTATCCAGATATATTTATCGATGTGCGTGGCAGACGAGAACC